AACACAGTGTAAGTAAAACGTTTCTTTCAACCAGCTGAAAGAAAGATTCCGAGTTCAGGTTGAGCGAGAAACCTATATACCCACAACGTGTTAATCATCTGTTGGCCTTTGTTCCCATTTGCGACTTCATGTTGTTAATTAGATAACATATTTACCCTAATTATTTGAAGATCAAAGGCGATGGAAAACAGAAACGGTCTGTACCAGAGTGGTAGTACCAATGTGAAATTTCTGTGCTGAGTGGTTATATTACTACCTGAAATAAACGAGCAGAAACTCGACGTTTCGAGCGAAGGCTACTAACTCTTGACGAAGGGCCTTCGCTCGAAAGGTCGAGTTTCGGCTTGTTTGTTTCAGGTAGTAATATAACCACTCAGCGATGGTGATGATGATAGTGATGATGATGATGATGATGATCATGGTGGGTAACTTTTGGATCGAGTCAGAGTACTGATGACGGTTTCACTGAAGACATTTTGGAGAGCAGTGATGTTTTGATAACGAGCAAATTACTCAGTCTGAGTCAGGTAATTTGTTGGTCTTGTTCCGATTTTCGTCTTCATGCTGTTGGGCAACATATTTAAATTTAATTTAGTGAGATTAATGTATAAAATCGTGAAGCATGAAAGTATTGTATTTGAAAGATAATTATGATATTTTAATGAAAATCACAATACCCGATGTTGCATATTTAAAGGGAATAAAACGTGCAAACCATAGATACCCCCCCCCCTAAAAATTGATAAATAACGATATGTGTGTTCTAGATGTTTACAGGGCCGTACGCAGAATTTTTTCACCAGGGGGAAGTATGGCCTATATGCCGAAAAAAGTCCCAAATATTCGAAGAATAATTAATATAATGACATTCTAAAAGCCGTAAATATAGTTTTCTCTAGGTGGGGGGGGGGGCAGTTACCCCCTGTCTCCCCGCTGTGTTCGGCCCGGAATGTTTATGATTATGATAATATTTAAAGCCTGAAAAACAGATTCGCTTGCGAACGTCATGCAATTGCTGTAGTATAAAATAACATCATATTTTGAATAAGTTATTGTAATGTTGGCTTGGAAGTGTTCCTGGCCAGGGCTCGACACGGTAAATTACTCAGAATGTTTGGAAAAAACCATTAAAATGCACAAAACATAAAAATATCATATATTTTTAAAACACTCCGATGTCATCTTGTTTCAGTTCAGCCCTTCTTTCGCACATTTCATAATTTTTTTGTTGTCCAGGTTTCTCCAGTTCTGGATTGAGATCAGTTTTTATCTGCGCGTGCGCATTAAGTGTTTTGTGGTCAAGCGCATGCGCATTTGCAACACAACAATGGCGGTTCACGGATTTCGAAATACGACGAAGCATGAACTTTGGAGAGGTTGTACTTCAATTTGTGCAACTATTTCGCTTGGGGGGAAGTGGATTCTAACTAAGTAAGTTCTAATCTATCCATTCATGTAAAAATTATGTAGTTACACGAGGGGTGCTACGGAATTGAACATTTTCGACCCTCATCCAACGGCCTATAGGCCTTTTATACGAGGCAAATGACCTTTGCTATAATTACCAAATGCTAGCCGGAAATTGACCAAACCTGCCAAAGATACCTGCCAAAGCCAGCCGAGTAAAGGCCTAGGTCTAGGCTGGTGACACCCCAGAATCTGGGGTGTTTTCATTCTCGTAACCAGAGCCCTTCTTACGCGCGGAGCGACGAGGGGCTCTGGCCAAATCCATAACCGGATACCATAAAAACATGGTAGGAAAACAATTGACGGCGTTAGAACTAGCCAATCAGATGCCAGTTCGGATATGGATTTGGCCAGAGCGCCTCGTCGCACCGCGCGTAAGAAGGGCTCTGGGTACGAGAATGGGGTGTTTTCAATTAGCGTTTTAAAATCACTGAGGGAGGAGTAGCAAGGGAATTATTGCCGAACGGATGCTGTCAAATGTAAAAATAAACAAAGCGAAGGCACGCCTATTAGCACACTTTTATCGTTACTAAAAATATATTGTAACCTCGAGCGCTAATAGTAATGTGAAAGAAACTCCTAAAAGGTATATAAATCCAGGCCTACTCTGGGGCGGTAAATCGCCTAAAATCGCATTAAATCGCGGGTTAAAATGGTCAAATTTCTCTTAAATCGCCTAAAATCGCTTTAAATCGCCTAAAATCGCTTTAAATCGCCTAAAATCGCTTAAAATCATGGACGTACTGGGTAGGGGTGGAAGGGGCGGGGCGACTGCCCCCCCCCCCAGTTTCTGGCTGGGTGGTCGCCCCCTGGCTTTGTTGGGCAAACAAAGCCAGCCGGGCAATATTCGCTTCACAGTCGGGCAATATTGGTTTATTATAGAAATAAATGGGACAAATTCTCTCAATTTTGTGGGAAATTCTCTCAATTATGTGGGAAATATGCTATCTAATAGGAATTTTTTGTAATCAGTTCTCCCCCCCCCCCCTCCCCAATCACTTCTTTCCAACCCCATAATATTTTCCTTCCCGTACGCCCATGCTTAAAATCGTATTAACTCGCCAACATGCATTCTGTTTGATACATTCAGTCAATAATGTACTCAAGTTTATCAATTGCTACTATTTTGCTGGCAAATCATGTATAATCCAGGTGTTTTGCAATCAAAAGTAATGCAACATGGATAAATCAAATAAGTGGATTAGGCTGACAATATTTAGTCACTCAATAAGCTCCGGTCGTTAATAAAAACAGAGCCTTTTTCTGCTTTATGCAGACTTTACAATAATTAGGCAATTCTGGGATATGAAAGACCCATAGATTCCATTACACTACCAGCAACAAAATTGAGTTACTGGTTAATTTCATTATTGGTATAAAATGTGGAGGCTGGGCTACAATTTATATGGACTATGGTGGCTGGGCTACAAATTAATCTATAAGATACATCAATACATGGCTTCTCAAAGCCTAATTGCTGTTAGAACAACAGTAGGAGACTATGATAATGAGAGTCAATGAGTACGAGTATATAATAAGGTCATCCTGCAATTTATGCACTGTTGCATATAGATCGAGCACTGCATTGTATACAATGGTTGTACTTCGACATGTGCATGGTTATACTCTAGCTCCTAGTTATAATTATATATTGGCTATCATACGAAAAACAATACATGAGGTTTAATATGAGCGAGATTTGCAAGTTTTGCAACTCTCATCTATTAAATTTTCCAGACTTGCATATAAAATAAACAGTAAAACAATGATTACATCGTACATACCATACAATCTTTGTTGTTGCTTGTTTGCAGAACACTTGACAAATTATCAGGTAAAAGACTTAAAACCACGATGTAGTGCCCGGTGTGCCATTTGTTTAATATCATTTTGTTTAGTATTTTTTTTAAATAATTTAGAATTCCGACCATTTATATGCGATGTACTTCATGTAAATTAAACTTTACGGCATTACGCCAACAGTTTCCGAATGCGTGACAATACTGTTTCAAACTGTTTCTGGATATAGATATCAAACATAATTTTATAAAACATGTTTGTTGAAACAGTTTAAATAAAATGCAAGCTAAATAAAGAAGTGTTGACAAGATACAAAACAAGACAATTTCACTTACAAGGGTGACAAGGTAATTTATAGGAATATAGCTTATTGTAACTGTATAAATATATTGTGCGTTTCTACTCCCTGTGGGCTGTGGTTCTTTTGGAAATCAAATATCTATTATATTTTGCAATTAATAATATTAAAGTTTAGCCTAAGACATGTGTAGTTTAGTTATAGGTTGGTATTTTGCAATTATGTACGGTACATGCCCCTTAAGTAGAGTATATTTATTAACTGTTTACAATATTTGTGGTATATAATGTAGCCATGAATGCATGACCACATGACCCCACAAGATGAACTTCAATGTCTCCAATGGCTTCTAAATAAGACAATGGATGAAAAGTTCACGAATATTGAGCTTTATATATGATTTGGGTTAAATACAATAATTATTAACCTAGCTTTATATAAAATGTACATACATGTTCTAATAATTGTATTTTGCTTCATACAATGCATATGTGTCAATGTGTGTGAAAACATTACATTATTCAGCTCACTCCCCTTTGGGGCTTTTCAGTCACTGCTTACATAAAGTATTAGGGTTACTTATGTTAGTCTAGACTATATATCTTTATAACAATGAGAATATGATATCACTTTTCTAACTGTGTTTATTCTAACCCACCCTGCCATATTTTGCTTTGTGGGAGGAAACCGGAGCAAAATATAAAATTCAATTACCTTGAAAACACAGGTCTAAATTACAACCCCTAAAATTTAGAATTTTCTCTTAGATCGCCTAAAATCGCCTAAAATCGCATTAAATCGCAGTGCTTGAAAGTCCCAGTTTTTCCTTAAATCGCCTAAAATCGCCCAAAATTGCCCAAAATCGCATTATATCGCAGCGATTTAAGGCGATTTACCGCCCCAGAGTAGGCCTTAAACTGAAGCCCAAGAAAAGGTGTAACCAACATGACTCCATTTGAAGCATGGACTGGAGTGAAACCTGATGTCAAACACTTGACATAAGCTTGATTCAAAGGCGAAGAAATGTGTTCTGTTAGGATATGGAACTGAAACCAAGGGATATCGTTTACATGATCCTCAGAATTCAAGAGTTATATATATTCGGAATATTAAATTCAATGAAAGTGAATTTGCCATTGAGAAGGAGTTGCCAGGGAATGAACTTTAGGCTGATAAACATGTAACCCTCGAACTGTCAAATGGTAATGATGTAGTTGTTTAGGATGATCGAGCAGATAATGCAGAAATTAACGAGTGCCGACCAGTGCGAGAAAGACGTGCACCTGAACGTTTTGGTGAATGGGTAACTATCGCAAACGTTCCAAGCGTTCAAGGTTTTTCGCAGAGATACGGGGTGGATTACTATGAAATATTTTCCCCAGTGGTGCGTTTTGAATCGATACGGACTGTTTAAAGAGGGTTAAAGTTGCATAAGATGGATGTAACCGCTTCTTTTCTAAATGGAGGATTAGAAGATGAAGTGTATATGAAACAACCTGAAGGTTTTGAAGTTAAAGGGAAGGAATATCTGGTTTGTAAGCTAAACAAGAGCCTGTTTGGGATATAGCAATCTTCTAGATGTTGGAATTCTGTATTGGATGAGCATTTGAAATCGATCGGTGTTACTCAAACGGAAAGTAATCCCAATATTTGCGTGAAAGAAGAGGACGGTGATATTTTCATTGTTGTTATTTACGTTGATGATATCATTCTTGCAGGCAAAACTAATGAAAAGATTGCCAAACTCAAAGAAAGCATTGCAGAAAGATTTCAAGTGAAAGATATGGGTGAGCTCAAGTATATCCTTGGTCTACAAGTGATTCAAGAGGATGGTAAGGTGTATGTGCATTGGTCAGCCTACTTATACACGGCGAGCATCATAAAGAAGTACGGTATGGAAAATTGCAAGCCAGTTGAAACTCCTGTTGATTTGAGTTCAAAGCTTGTTAATGCTATGGAAGACAGTGAACTGTTTAACAAAGAAGAGTATCAGGCAGTCAACAGTCAGAGTTTGTTGTATTTATCATCGGCAACACGATCTGACATAACATTTGCAGTTAACAATGTTGCTAAGTTCTCGGCAAATCCTACGAATGAACATTGGACTGCTGTAAAACGAATTTTTCTATACCTAAAAGGAACTGTGAACTATGGACTACTTTACTCAGAGAATGCTAGTCCAGATTGTGTTGGATTTTCAGATGCGGACTGGACAGGTGGTTTAAATGGCCGGAAATCAGGTTCTGGTTATACATGTCAAATACATGATGATGCTGTTAGCTGGCGAAGCAAAAAGCAAATTTGTGTAGCATTATCAACAGCTGAAGCTGAATACGTCGCTTTATCTGTAGCTGTACAAGCGGCATTGTGGATGCGACAATTGTTGACAGATCTTAGTGTAAACGACATTGATGAACAAGTAACAATTTACGAAGACAATGAATCAGCTATTGCTATGTCCAAGAACCCACAATTTCATGGAAGATCTAAACACGTAGACATAATGTATCATTTGTACGAGACAAGTAGAAAAGAAAACATCAACTGTGCTTTATTGTCCAACAGGTAGCATGTTAGCTTATTTATTCACGAAAGGTACTGTATTCAAAAGAAACAATTTAAGAAACTGCGTGATCTAACAGGTGTTGCATAAAATCTAAGCAGGCAGATAAACATTCGAATTGCGAATGAGAAGGAGTGTTAAATTAAATTAGTTGATATTGCGTCATGCATTCTGATTTGAAAGTATGGTGTATCCATTTTAGTGCCTCGTGTAACTGTTCGTTGCAGTTCTTGTTCAAGTTGTATTTCGATGTATTTTGCCCGTTAAATGTTCATATTTTATCACAAAAATGTGACTGTTCGAATAAATATTCAAATCCAATACAACAAACTAACAAATTAGTTTTTACAGAACCTTTTTTTCAACTTATATTTTGCGTCATGATTTAAACGATATGACTTTATTACACGAATGCGAAAAATTAAAGAAAATGTACTACGAGAGTTTAACATTGGATCAAAGGTCAAGTGCACGCCCGAGTTTAGGGAAATTCGAGTTTACGGAAACTCATATTACGATGTTGCCACTATATAACAGTATGTACAAGGCGAATTAAATAAAGAAAAAACAGAAAAAATTTTAACCGTTTTCGAGCTTTATGATTCTAATTATGGAGATTTGAAGATTGTTCTCATACTTTTTAAACGAAGTTTTGGAATGAAAAATTATTTCAATTTTTCATTGTGAAATATGCAATGTTTTGCTGGATGTTTAATTAAGGGAATGAAGAACGTCGTACACACGCGAGTGTTTTATTGATCGATCAATCGAAAAACATCTGCTACCAACTTGGTTATTCTTCACCCCACAAAATTAATAACGTTTGAGAATATCCTTTCTTTACGGTTCCCACAATTAATTGATTTAATTTATTTAATATTCGCCCAAATCAGTCTATAAAACTAACAATTTAAATAAAAATGGCAATCTGAATTATAAGAACAAACATAAAGAGAATGTAATTCTACTGAATAGTTCGTCTTGCATTTGTACTGCGATTGATGCTTATTACTCGCTGGGGCACCTGTGCCCCGGACAAGTATAGGTTTCGGCTCGCATTTTTCTCCGATAGTGGATCGTGGATCAACGATCGATAGTCACAAAATAGAATATTAATGAGCAACCTAATTTTTACCCGAATTATCCATAAATAACCCTGCGTTTTGAGAAAAATTCGAGAAAATTGAAAAATGTTACTAGGAATTTCGACATGGAAACAGCATAAGAAATTGTATTCGATTCAGCGTAAGAAATTGTACTTAAGAATGTCAAATGTATTACTGAACACCAGTATTCTAGTGATTTATGGCTTTTGAAGATCAGGCAAAATTGTATTGTTGACCGAGGGCAAATTGCTCGCAGTACGTATTGTATTTGTTGACAAATCACTCGCAGTACGTTTCATAATGTATTTGTAATTCCTAAATGGTGAAATAAGGATAAAAATACCACCGTTCGATTCAGCGTTAGAAATTGTACAGTACTACTAAACAACAGTATTCTAGCGATTTATGGCCTTTGTCTTTGAAAGCCAAGCGAAATTGCATTGTTGACAAATCACTCTAATTTATTAAACTAATTATAAAAAATGCAGTACGTTTGATCCTTGATAGCTTTGGTATCATTGGTTTTCTCTTTTTCGGCCGTATACCAGTAGATTCGTCTTACTTTTCTCTTCATTTTGATAGTATTTTGAGGCCAAAAAACAACAACAAATTTTCAAAAACAACAACAACAAACTGTCGCAAAAACAAATTGAAAACAAACAAATTGTCAATTTTTGCAAGTAACATTGTTTGAAATGCTGCAAATGTCCCAAGTCCGTCTCTCCGTACTTTTCTCCTGAGACGGACTTCGACCAAGTCTAGCATAGCCCCAGCGAGTTAACGCTCCGTAGAGCGTCTTGTTTATACAGAGAATGCATTTTTTACAGATAATCCGGCTTAAATAGAGCATAGTCCCTCGGCTTTTGTGCTTCCATCTTACTATTTTAGGGCGGTAATTCAGAGAAGATCGGCATGCTGAAGCATTCCAGGGGGGGGGGGAGGGAGGATGCGAGATGGCCTAGCACGATTTGCAAATCCTTGCTTCTTGGCACTATTTATACCTTCAGCGGCACTGGATTCTAGATTACACAACGATCTTTTTCAATAATTTAAAGTAACAAAATACATGTACTGGCAGTTCGAGTGAGGGCTGCGTTATGAATTTACCTCGTCATGCTTTGATTGGTATCAAATTACAGGATCAGAAATTTTACAACTTTTGCTAGGCCTTCTCCCACAATTCAAAACCTATCCAGTCAGGCGAAAAGGCCTAGAACCAGGCTATTATAAACAGTTGTTGAACCATCGTACCTTGACAATCAGTAATCGCCAGAAAAACCACAACGAGACAAGTGTACATCTCGAACTTCAAATTGGCCATCAAGAAAACCTATAATGGATAAAATGGTAGAAGAGGAGTCACAAAATATGACAGCACTCTTGAAGCAGTTGAGGAGTTTTTCTACTCAAAAATAATTATTTTTAAATTAATCCCCCAGCCGACGGCGAGAGTACAAATTCTCCCCAGCTATTTACACCCGGGGAAACGAAAGCATTAACAAAGTCTAAAGTTCATCAATAATCGCGGCCGTGGCTTACCAACGAAGGTTCGGTGGGTGGTCATCCTCAATGATCTCATAATATAGCGGACTATCATGATTAGCCAACACTGATTGATTCAATTTAAAATTTGCATTATAACGACTGCTTGGCGACAGCGCAGTAGAAAACATTTTTTAATCTGATGATTGATACATTTCTTGCAAATATATTTAATTTTTGCTCGCATTTTTTCAGAAAGAAAGGGCGTAAGAATCGGCTAAAAGAAGGGAGCCGACGTTAACGAAGGTAAGTTTGAAATCTGCTTGTGTTGGTGTAATGTACTCAGGTGAACAAGATGTTTGTGTAATGTTACTTTGAGTGTATATCCACACCGGGCAGGCTTAAAAAATATGCCTGGCCACGGCAGGACTCGAACCTACGACCTTTGGAATATTTAATTTTAATTTTTTAATTTAATTTAACAAATTTTATTTGGATCGATATTCACTTTTTTTAACAAACAAAAGAAAATAACAGAACAAATATTACATTAAGTTAAAATAACCTAGATATCAAATGTAGATCCAAAAAGGTAAGGTACGAACGGGACTTTTATAAAAGGTCCCATGCAGGGCACCCACCTCCAAAATAGTAATCATTATAACAAATATAACATCACAAACTCAAACTCGCTAAAGGATTCAGTTAACTCGAAATTCAAAATAGTCACCACTTCAGAGAGTTTGAGTAAACGTGGCTCATTTTCCTGAAACTGGACGTGTCAAGTAAACTAAGAGACAGATTGAACATGCATGTAAAGGTAAAGGCCAGCTTCCACACAGGAAGATCCTCCGCTGAGCAGAAACGGCGGGAGAGCTTTCATTGTGTTAAATTCACGACGTCCACGTCATTTGTGTTGATTAAATTCATTTAGTTCGAAACCAGAGGTTCCAAACGAAATCTCGCAAAACAAACTGAAAACTTTCCAGTCCACCCCGATCCCGAAGACCCTCCCGAATGGAGACTAGCCTTTACATGATAGACAGAAACATATTACAGACAGAGACAGACAAATATACAAACACGACAAACTGACTTAACTATTTCCTGTGGCAAGGACAGTCCTGTACCAGTGACCACGTACAAGATAACTCAACATCATAGACTGACGAAACAAGTTCGGTATATTTACGTTTAAGATAGTTTTTAAAGGAGTTCGGACTGGAGAATGTATCTGTATGAACGTCTTTACATATACAGTTCTATGGTTTAACTATCCAGTTAAAGTATGACGATTGAAAGGTCGTTGTTCTACACAAGGGTGTTTGAAGCACAACACTAGCAGCTTGACTGAGTCTAGTGCGTCTATGTTCAATGAATGAAACATAACTGTCCATTTTAAGGTCGATGTGGCCATACAGCATCTTGTAGAAGAACACGAAATCTTTGATTTCTCTGTCGTATGTAAGAAGCACTAGTTTCAATGTCATTAATCGTTGTTCGTAAGGTATTTCACCAGTCTTTATTCTTAATATCCATTTTGTCGCTCTCCTTTGAACTCTTTCAATTCTTCTGTTGAGTTGACTGTGATGATTTGAAGACCAAACTTGTGTTGCGTAGGAGAGTTGTGATTTAACTAGTGTCACGTACAATGAACGTCTGATGTTGACGTTTGTTAATGATAAGCATGTTTGTTTTAGCGCACCAAGTTGTTTACTAGCCCAATGCTCTTCCAACTGAGCTACGCGGACAGGACGGTTCGAGTATGCGATATTTCGGAACTGAGTCTAGTTCCTTCGATATCTGTGTAATCTAATAATCATGATTTCATTAATCAATTTCTCAAATTAATTAATAATTCACTTGCAATTGACCATTTGCGTAATAGACTTAATTTTGATCTAAACAAGTCTAGACAAAACATCACACAATTAGTAATATTCCAAAGTTTCGTTGAGAAATGTTGTAAAATGCGGATAATATAGCCTTGCGAAGTATGGAATTTTCAGTCATTTTAGATAACAAACGGGAAATTGACAGCCCCAAAGGGTATAATAATTATTATTATTATTATAAAATACTTTATTAGCATGACCATAATCTACAAGGTATTGCTAAAGTAATTACTCTAACTATAACTATACTGGGTGTCCCAAAAAAGCGAAAACTATTGAAATCACCAATAACAATTTAAAGTTGTTAGAATTTAAATGCCTAAGCATTCTGTTGGTTCCCACGAGTGCATAAATGATCGACATAAGTAAATTTTATGCAAAAATAAACTATTTAAGAAGCTGCTTTAAATTCCCAAGAGCAGAAAATCGCGCACTTTACAAGGAGATGTTCTTAACTAAATTTTAATACATGCACCTTGTGAATATTTTACGCATCATTACGTTCAGCCTTTTGGTAGGGCATTCAATTTTAACAATATAGTGATTTACTAAATATTTATATAAAGGAGAGAAAATATTAGTGTATATAACAATAAAGTTATGATTACCGTGTATTTCATAGAGTTTTTTTTTTCCAATATTAGATTAAAGGAAAAAGTATACAGGGTGTATAAAAAAAGGTAATCGAACTTCACCGCGCTATTATACATTAATTACTCGGCGTATGAACAATTGGTTTGCATATTCGGAAAGACCAGGCTTTTAGTTATTGAATTACATGCTTTTTATGCCAAGTGGAGAAAAAATAAGGATATACGAGGCAGATTAAAAATGCTAGTCAAAATTGCATTTTTTCACCTATGTGCCTAATTATAACAATGCATAACAAATGAAAAGCGATTAATCACGAACGTGTCGTAGCTCAGCTAAGATTTATTCCTATACTGTTCAGTACTTAAATTAATAATAATTATAAATATGTGTGCAGTTTAATGAAGCGAAATTCATTATCTTAAATCCTAAAGGGGTTCATTTTCAATGGTTTTAGATCTTTCACCTTTCAACGGTGAAAATATTCGATACTGACTAACATTTTTTATCGGATTCGTATTTGCTCATTTTTTATCCATTTGGCATGAAGAAGATAACATTCAACAGCTAAAAGAATGATCTTTGCGAATATGAAAAAATCTCGTCCATAAACCGAGTAATTCAGATACAATAGTGCGCTGAAGTTCGATTACCTTTTTTGTTATACCCCCCGTAGTAATTCATAGATGAATATTAGTATAATAATATATTTAGCTTTAGTAAAATTACAGTTAATCGAGGGCACTTGTCTCTGACCGAAAAACATTTCGATATGAAATTTGAAAATAGAGTTCTTAATACTTGGTCATTGTTGCACATCACGTGAGTCAACAAATCTTCTTTTGATTTTGTTGTTAACTGCATTTGAAAAATGTTCTTTAAAATATTGTTAGTATTGTTCCTTAGATTGTCGTATTTATGACATTCAAAGGAAAAATGAATTTCGTTTTCAACATAATCACTGTGGCAGTGTTTTCAAAATATTTCTTCACATGGTATTTGTTGGTACCGACCATATTCGATTAGTAATTTATGATTACTCATTTTAATGGGTCCGTTAGTATACTTACAGTAAGTAGTCTTCTAATTTATAGTTTTTCTTAAATCTGCTGTAAAATGAGAGTTTTGAGGAGTTGTTAATTTGTTGTTTCCATTCTGAGACGTAGGCTAGTTGTTCTGGATTATATCGATTATAACATTTATTTTTGTATCGGATATAAATTTTTCTAGATCTACTGGTTCAATTAGAGTGGGAAAGTGGTTTTTTTTTTCAGAAAATTTACAACGTTTGAGTAAAAAGAATCTTTGTCTTTCAAATATAGTTCTTTCGAGCTACGAAATGCTAGTTTTGCTATCGATAAGTCTGGGAGTTTAGATATATTAATAAAGTAACTTAGTATTCTAACTTTTAATTATGGAAAATAGTAATGGGAATTTTCCAAGTTCCCCTCCGCTTACAACGTTGCTGGCTTTCCTACTTACTCCTAGGTAGAGTTCGCAAAATTTTAGATGGGATTTGTCGGTCCATATTTTATCCCATTTTGTAAAGTCTCCGATTGTGTATGCCCCTGATACCTCGGAGTTGTATACTAATATCGGAGAGATTACACTGTTGAAGATTTTGCAAGCTAGTTTTGGTGGTACTTGGTGCAAATCAATCTGTTTGCGTATTTTGTATAAAGCATGTATTGCTTTTTCGCTCAGTTGTTGGCTGGCAATATCAAATTTTGTGTTGGGCGTTAATTTTAAGCTTACGTACGTATATTCATTAGTCATGGAGATTGGATTTTCTCCAATGTTAAATTGGATGTTCTTTGGTTTAGATTTATGTTTTTGCAGAATGATGACTTTTTTTAGGTTGACTTCCAATAGCCATTTTTCGCTCCAGTTGTGAAGCGTACATGTATCTAGGCAGTTTTGGAGACCGTTTTTGATCGTGGCAATATTACTAAATCATCAGTAGAGAGAAGGCTGCTTATTGTAGTGCTATTTGGTAGTATGAAGGGATCAGAAATTGTTTCTTCGAACAATTTTGGTAGTTCATTAATATATAAGTTAAATAGTAATGGACTTAAAGCACAACCCTGACGAACTCCCTTGCGGGTATTGGGCATGTCAATTTCCCGTTTGTAATCTAAATATGACTGAAAAGTGCCAACTTCGCAAGGCTATATTAACAGTATTTTACAACTTTTCGCAACGAAACTTTGGAATATTACTAATTTTATCATGCTCTTTCAAGCTGGTTTGTCTAGATCAAAAAGTAGTCTATTACGCAAATTGTTGTCAATTCATCCAATGATAATCACCTATTTGATCACAAGATGCCATTTGGATAACGCGGTGAAACCTGATGAAAGTCTACTATGTTTTTATCAAATATCTTAATTACGTTAATATGCTTGTATGGTTGAGAAGCCATATAAACAGCTCGAGCTCGTGTCTCACCGGGATATCCAAACACTCGAAAACAATGTATGAAAACACGAGGGCGAAATGTAGCCTATGAAAACACTCGTGCTTCGCCCTCGTGTTTTCATACATTGTTTTCTCGTGTTTGAATATCCCGGTGAAACACCCGCTCTTGTTGTGCATATATTACTTCAAACTCTTGATGAGGGAGTTATGTATCTCTGACCCTAACTCTCAACCTAGCCGTATCGCTGTGAACGTTATATTCAAAATAGAAAAAATAAATGCGTATCCAAAACTGTCGAGCACATATACATGAATTAAAGAGCAAGTGAAACTCCATAGGAAAATTTTGGCAAGAAATTATTTGTGTTGTACTGCGATACAACTTTAAGCGCTGTGCAGAGAAACATTTTTTTTCGCGGGCACAAATCGTTATAAAATTAAATGCTAAATCTTTCTTGTTCGCAGCACTTCAACGTTCTAAATTGTGCCTGGAAGAGGTTAGGTCAAAAAGAATAAAAAAAAGAATAAATAAATAAAAAGAATAAATTATATAAATCTATTTAAGAAATAGAAATGAATATTTTCACTTGAAATACAAATTATACAGAAATAAATTGAAACATTTACTAAATATAAGAAAAAAATCCTATTATAATAATTATTTTCATATTAATAATGGAAACATGAAAAATATTTGGAAGGGTATAAAAGAATTAGTTACTCTTAAACAATAATCTATAACTAGCCCATCAACTATAGAAGTAGACAATACTAAAATAACAAATTCAAAACAAATTGCAAATGCTTTTGTTCCCGATTAATTGAACTGTCTACAAAATGTCTACACGAGATAATTCGCCACTTTATTCCGAGTCTTTAAACACAAAAATAGCCTAAATATTGTCACACTTTTTGTAGTCGAAAAATATAAACTAGAACGTTCAAACTACGTTTTGTCGCCCGCGCGACTATTTCAGCGGTCATGATAACAAGTACTTCATATAATAATATCGTTTGTTAACATCCCCCTCCCGAATGCAACGGCATTCGATTCCACTTAAAGACAATAAATCGAGGGATTAGCAATGTCAATGAATACTAACAAATACGACTTAATTAACGTCCTTTCTGTTCACTTCTATATAACGTTTCAGTTATCTATCTTCATTGTCCGAATGTTCGTCAACATACTCGAGAGGACACAGTCGATGTATAGGACGGAAATATTCTTTGTTCCTGGATTTCACCTTTACAACTCGGACTAGGCCGTCACTTCCTTGATACGCTTCGATCACACGGGCAAGAGGCCATTCTCCCCTACTTGCTTTGGGTTCAGCAATCAATACCACATCGCCTTGTTTCAGGTTATGTTTGGGATGAAACCATTTCTTGCTTACATTAAGACGTGCACGTGGAAGGAACTCCTTTCTCCAGCGCTTCCAGAACAGCTGTAACAATTGTTGTACTCGATGCCAGCGATTCCTAGGGTTGTTCGCTTCAACTTGATCAAGAGCTTCAGGAGCAAATACCCCACAGATCTGTCCGACTATAAAATGATTTGGAGTAAGTGGGGACGGGTCGTTTGGATCTGAACTCACATAAGTGATGGACCGTGAGTTTACCAGTCTTTCAGCTCCACACATTGCGGTCTGAAGTTCTTCATTCGTCACATCTGCATCTCCTAGGACAATTTTTATTACCTTCTTGGCGCTCTTTATCATAGCCTCAAAAATCCCTCCAAAATGAGGGGCCGATGGAGGATTGAATTTCCATTCAATAGGTTGATACTTGGTGGTTTCTTGGGCAATTTTGTCGTGGTTAAAAGCTTGAACTAATTCTCTCATCTCCCGCTCTGCGCCCACGAAATTGGTCCCACTGTCCGATATAACATATACGGGCGTCCCCCTCCTCGATACCATTCGCGTAAAGGGACATCTCAAGGTGAACAGCCCTTGTCGCTAGACAAGTAAATAGGCATAGGTATCTCTTTGATTTGGCTTTGCCTCGTCCTTGCTTCGTTCGAAATGGGCCTCCAGAATCCACTCCGACTCTTTCGAAAGCTCGTAACGATTGAAGTCGCGGTCTGGGTAGCGGTGCCATCTTCTGCTCGGCTGTTTTTACAGAAAAACGTCGTCGACATTGCGCACATGACTCAACGATATTCCTTACCGCGCGTCTTCCTTTTACGATCCAGAAACGACTGCGTAGCAGTGTTAGAACCTGCTCAACTCCGGAACCATGTCCGAGCCCTTCATGTGCATCCTTCATGATGAGTCGGGTCACCACGTGCTTTTTTGGCAATAAAATGGGGTGTTTTGTGTTGTAGAATAGTTCATCCGCAAGTCTTAAACGTCCGTCCATCCTCAGAAGACCATCGTCACCGTTCTTTGGACTAAGTCGCAGTAAACATCCTTCTCGCTCTCCTTTCGGGAAAGCTTATCCTTGCGCTTGTTTGATCCACCACTTTTCCACATTAAGTATTTCAGTTGAACAAAGCGTTCTGTCTCGTTTTCGTAATTCATTGGAAGTCTGCAGTTTGTAACGAATCGTTGAACCCATCCAGTCACACGACAAAGGCGACGGAAGGTAGAAAAATGGTTTGGATAACGCCCAGGTTAACGCGCGCCTGGACCATGTACATCTGTGCCACTGTATTTTCAATATCTTCAACTTTCGTCTCCTCTCTAACGGAAGGCGCTGATGGCCCCGAGATCTCGACATCTTTCAAGAACGATGGTCCTTCCAACCAAAATGAGCTTTTGGCTAGTTCCATAGCAGATTGACCTCGGGTCGCTAGATCTGCTGGATTCTGTATCCCAGGTACATGCCTCCATTGCTCGGGACTCGTCGTCCGTTGAATTTCTGCGATACGGTTGGCTACGAAGGGTTTAAACTGCCGGCTGTGGTTTCGTACCCAATAACACACATTCTCGGAGTCAGTCCTAAAGATCACTCGATCGACAGTCAGGACTTTCAGAAGACTTTGAGCTAAACGGCTTGAGAGAATGGCACCCATAAGCTCCAGTCTGGGAATCGTCATCGCTTTGGTGGGGGCTACACGGCACTTTGATGCGACAAGGCGTGATGTAGGGCTATCGTCTTCATATTGGCACACCAAATAAGCGACTGATGCGCAGACGTCTTCAGAGGCAGAGGCGTGGTATGGCGACATGTGATAACTGCGAAAGTTCTGTAGCCCAGTTCTTCCACTTAGTTGCTAGGTCACTTGGAAGGTCGTCATCCCAATCCAAACCTGCTCTCCAAGTCTCTTGCATGAGAATCTTAGCCCGAACAAGGAATGGCGAGAGAAACTGAAGGGGGTCGTATACAGCAGCTATGGCGCTCAGTACATTACGTTTCGTAGGGGTTTTATTCCACTCTGAAGGTAAATACATCTCTTTCAGGATCCCACAAGGCTCCCAGAGTCTTGGTTTTATACGGCTCTTCTTTGTTAATTTCAACAGCAGATAACCGGTCACTCTCGGGGATGCTTGCGATAACTGACGTCGAAGATCCTGAGCACTCTCTATAATCAACTTCGGCTCTCCGTCGTTCCAAGGGATTCCTACCTCGTACAGACCATTCTCAAACTTTAGGGATCCAGCTACAGTTGCAGTTGCTGCTCTTTCGTCGGCCGTCATCGCCTGTTTCTCAGACGTTTCTTTGATTCCAAGTGTCTCAAGCTCCCAGAACTTGCGTAGAATATGGTCCGGTGGTTGTTGCTGGTCTACATGGCAGCTACGGTACGTGCGTGTGAAGTGGGAACGCGAGTTGCGCCGAAACTCGTTGACCAACGTTGGCCCAAAACAAATCCAGCCCAAGTTCGTTAGGCGTGCCAGAGGATCACTTGGTTGGCTGCCGCGAACTTCTTCTAATACGTAGTGGAATACTGGATTATCGCTGCCAAGCATGATATCAATCTGCTGTCGCCTGGAAACATTGTCGAAAGGGATCTTGTGCAGGTGAGGCCACTTTTTCTTGAGTTCTGACCACTGTATGGCTGGTGTGTCGCTTGCAATGTTATCTAACACATGTGCTTGGACAGGTGTCGTAAATGACCTATCTAGACTAGTCACATTTAGTTCCACTCGGCGGGATCTTTTCTGGATCTCGATGCCCCCTGTTCCTGCAATCGTAAGGTTTACGTTTTGTCCATGCAACTCAAGCTCTTCTGCTGCTTCCTCTGATACATAGAAACTGGTCGAACAGGGGTCAAGCATTACATTGTCCTTTAACTCTTTGTTTCTATTACTAATCAGGGCAGGTATTGCCATTAAAGAGACGTTCTCTACTTTAGTTGTATTATGTGTTCTTTCTTGAGGCTGGAAATTGGTTAGTGGCAGATTGTCATCACGTGTCTTATCATTACGAGGAGCCTCTCTATTTTGGTTTGATTGTCCTGGGGGGACGTATGTCGGTGCATCAGGTCGTAAGTGTCCTCCCACGTCGTCCTTGTGTTTTGGAGGGCTTACATGAAGGTAACTGCTGTGGCCTTTACTCAGGCACCCATCAACACAACATTGTCTCGTTTTGGTGCAATCTTTGCTTCGATGTCCAGCAGCCAGACAGCAATAACAGCGTCCAGCCTTGGTAATTAATTCTTTTCTCTTTAGGACGGGTAGATCTTTGAAAGCTTTACAAACCCACGGGGGGTGATCCTCTTTACAGTTTGGAACAATACAACATCGCGTGGTGAATCTAGTATTGAAGCCTCGAAAGCGTTTCTTCTGTTCAACACGGTTGTCCGTCTTTTTTCCAATGCCATTCGTTTCTTGTCTCGCCTCGTCCATAACTTGCACTCGTACTTCAACCCATTCTTCAAGTGCTTCAAAATTGTCTTCACGCGAGTGGTCCATCAGCCAATATTTGTAAGCTTGCACGTCTTCTTCAGGTAGTTTCTCTTTAGCTGTTAAATTCAAGCTCTGTCCATGCAATGGTCCTGAGTCCTGAGTGGCGATCAATACTCTTTCTAATAGAACCTGAAACTCTTCCATATCTTCCAGATTTCGAGAACGAATTTTCCGGAAATTGCGCAAAGCTGTTAGGTGTTTTACCTGTAAACGTCTCTCCCCTCCGTACTTCTTCTCCAATTTAGCCTTCGCTCTTTCATACGCATTAAGGGAATACCCAAGATCTTTCACCATGGTTAAAGCTTTACCCGACAAACAGCCTTGTAGTCTAAGCATTTTTTCTCCGACAGGAATATCACGACGATCGACAACAGACAGGAATGCTGCCTTCCAGGATTCATAGTCACTTTTTTCTTCGCCAGAGAAGATAGGGAGATCCACTCCTTTAAGTCTAATGGGAGAAAATGTCTGTCTTTGTTCTTTGTTTTCATTGGGTAGCTCTGAATGTTTTTCTAAGTGACGGTTAATAAGAAAGTTCTGTACTGTATCCTTATCCGATACTTGCGATCTTCGTTCGGCTTCTTCAGCCCGGGATTTGTTGAGAGCAGCAACTTTCCTTGCATCATCGGTTCGCTGTTTTGTCAGCTGAAGCTCAGCGGTCAGCTTTTGGATCTCTAGCTCCTTTACTCGCTGTTCGTTTTCCATTTGGATTAGCCTTTCACTAGCCTCCTTTGCCTCTTTTTGTTTCTGTTCCACATTTGAGGATTTTTTCGACATAACTGGAGACTGGGGACTAGTTTCTTGTGATCGAAGTGAAGTTAACACTGAGTCAGTTTCTCCATTGCCAAGTCTTTCCTCGAGATGTTGTTCAGCCATTACAATTATTGAATCGACTGAAGACCCGATGTCTTCAAGTTCTTTGTCTAAAGTCTCGATAACTGTGTTGGTCTCCTCATTTTCAGCACTCACAGCATAAATCTCTTTTAAGCCAGAAATAATTTTTTCAATAATACTGATCTCGGAATTAACTTTATTAATAGCTCTTCTTATGGCATTTTTACTTGGCAATGGTACACCAGGAAGTTGTTTTTCAATTAGGTCGTTCAATTGTTTCTTAGCTTTTGTCAGCCTGGTTTTAGCCGATTTCTTACTACTTCGTAAAGTTTGAATCTTGGTACTCACTTGTTTGCTTTCTATATTCAATGTATTTTCTTCTTTTTTACTTTCGTGGTCGGCGAGATGAACATTTTGAATACTGTTTACAGCTTCAACACCTTGGTCTGTCTCTTCTCCAGGCAAGTCTTGTTGTTGTCCACTCGTACTAAGCGCCGTATTTGCTCGCACATTCACAACAAAAGTCGCGAATTTCTCGTTATTTTGTCAGCAGATCCGGCTGTCGAAGGACCAAACTTGTTCCCGATTAATTGAACTGTCTATAAAATGTCTACACGAGATAATTCGCCACTTTATTCCGAGTCTTTAAACACAAAAATAACCTAAATATCGTCACACTTTTTGTAGTCGAAAAATCAGAACGTTCAAACTAGAACGTTCAAACTACGTTTTGTCGCCCGCGCGACTATTTCAGCGGTCATGATAACAAGTACTTCATATAATAATATAGTTCGTTAACATCAGTTGTATCAAAGGTGGCGGAGGATTCCGTTGTCGAAAGTTTTGTTAAACTTGCTTTCCTTAGAAAGATTGATAGGAATCAATTTGGAACGATTCCCAAATCATCAACTCATGCACTAATAAGCATGATATATATGTGGAAAAAACCCCAGACGGAAGCGGTTCTATGGTGCGGGTCATTCTCAAAAAAGCCCCGATTGATCATGGTATTCTGGTAGGAAAGCTTACTACCTTCGAAATGCCAAAGCGAATCATTGGGTGGATCGTCAATTTTCTCATAGACCGTAAGCAGCGCGTTAAGGTAAGCCAAGATTGTTATTCTGAATGGGTTTGGCTCCGGCAGGCGTGCCCCAAAGGACTAAATTGGGTCCTTGGCTTTTTGCTATAATGATAAATGACCTAGAAGTAGCGGATACAGATTTATGGAAGTATGTGGACGATACTACAATCTCCGAGACTGTCCTTAAACATGAAGCCAGTAGCATTCAATCGTCGGTAGACGAGTTTACAAGGTACTAAATTACATTTAAACGAAGAGTTTACACCCGTGTATGTTAATAATAGGCCGATTGAAGTTGTCCCTTCTGCAAAAATATTGGGCATGCGAATTACGATCTTAAATGGAATACCCACATTTCAGAGATTGTGAAGAAAGTTTCAACAAAACTCTTCTTGTCAACTAAAAAGAACAAAAATCTCAGTGTACAAAGGATTTACTAACATTTTACCTGACCTGTGTGCGTCCAGTGATGGAATACGCTTGTCCTGTTTTCTACGACTCATTACCCAATTACCAATGCGAGGATCTGGAGATGTTACAGAAGCAAGCCCTTCATATCATCTTCCCAACGTTACCTTATACAGAAGCTTTGGTAGAAGCGGCAGTTGACTCATTATTTAATAGCAAACAAATTTTAACTACTAAACTATTTAATGACATTGCAAATGACGAAACTCATAAGCTTTATCAATTACTACCAAGTAAGAGAACATTTTCAACGTTCCTATTAGTAGGACGAATAGATTAAAAAATAGTTTTATACAACATAATTCTACAATGTATTTTAGGTAAGGGTGCACCGGATTTGGAATTTTCAAATCCGGCCGGAACCGGATTTTCTGGATTTGAACAAAAATTCCGGCCGGATTTGAGATGTTTTTTACTATTTTTAGTTAGTGTCAGTTTAGTTTTTTGATTGTGTTTAAACCTTTTTTACATATCTTTTTGTTAATAACTTAATATTTTGTAATAATAGAAGTGTTTTTTAAACTTTAAAGCTGCCAAATTCATGGTTTATCCCATTCTTGGTGAATTTTTTAAGGTGAAAACAGAAATTTAAATCCGGCCGGATTTTATCCAAATCCGGCCGGATGCCGGAAAATTAGTTAAATCCGGCCGGATTTGAAATCCGGTGCACCCCTAATTTTAGGTAATTTATAAGTAAATATTTATTGTAATGTTATAAGCTTAATTCAACCCGCGGGTTGTAATGCTTTTAATTCATTAAACGATCTATCTATTAATTAAAAAATCATTTTTTATCTGATTAACATTTGTAATTTGCAATTGATAAACAAAAACACTCCGCATTTTCAACGTGTGTTAGCATATGTTGTAACAATGATGTTTAGTTTATTATGTTTGGAAAGTCGTTTCTGTAGGCATCGTTTTGTTTGACCAACAACACTCCGCAAATTCAACACTCCGCATTTTCAACACTCCGCATTTTCAACACTCCGCAAATTCAACACTCCGCATTTTCAACACTCCGCAAATTCAACACTCCACATTTTCAACACTCCGCAAATTCAACACTCCGCATTTTCAACACTCCGCAGTCCGGAACTCCGCATATTCATGTAAACCATTTAGAAGAGCAGACTAAGTACCAGTTAAAACATGAGCAGCCGATCTTTATCTGATATGCAAAACGTGCTTAAAAAAAGGCCCAACTTATGAGTTCATTGGCGAAATAATTTTAAAAATAAACTTTGTCTAAGAAGCCGAGAAAATCAAAGCTGAAGTTTAGGTAAATCAGCACAAATCTTTATGCGATTTACAAACATTGATTAAACGTTCATTTCTTTTGTATTTTCCTCATGATGAGTTTTTAAGGGTATCTTAAAACTGAAGTCAGTTTCGAAATACAACCATTCGTTGCGAAGATATAATAACTCAAATTTCTAAAACTCCGCCATTTCCTTCTATTTTTACAAAATGGCCGGTTTTTCGACATTTGTAGGCATATGCCTATATCTTTCGCGAAAAATGGTCGTATTTAGAAACAAACTTCAGTTTTAAGACTCTCTCAATGTCGTCTACCGAATAAGTGCATAAAATTACCAAGGTAACTGTTAATTTTTTTTAGCGCAAAGTTTGTGACGTCATTTTCCCCGCCAAAAATGTAGCAATTCGAAAAACGAAAACATACAATTGAAAATGGATCTATTCTAAAAGACCACACGAGTCAGAACACGAGTGAACACGAGTGAACACAAGTGAACACGAGACAACACGAGTGAACACGAGTGAACACGAGTCAGAACACGAGTGAACACGAGACAACACGAGTGAACACGAGTCAAAAAATTGTGAACACGAGTGAACACGAGTCAAAAACTGACGAACACGAGTGAACACGAGTCAAAAATGACGAACACGAGTGAACACGAGTCAAAAACTGACGAACACGAGTGAAAACGAGTCAAAAATGACGAACACGAGTGAACACGAGTCAAAAACTGACGAACACGAGTCAAAAACGCATCCTTAAAGAGGCTCCCTACAGTTTTAAGCCCGTGATGAAGATCTGTACTGTGTAATTGCACGCGGGTTTCTTGGCGGCCCACAGGATGTTGGATTAATAATTATTAATAACAATTGTTATATAGTTAGTGTCAAAGTTCAATTTTTCTGTTTGCCGATTGGTCAAAACCGTGTCACGTGCCTGTCCACAAAACGTCATGTTCGGCAACTGGTCCGCAATCAAACATTTATTGACCGGTCAATAATAAAATGGGTGCAATACGCATGCGTGTCAACCATGAAGTTCCAAAGTTCATTTTTTAAACTTTTTACTAAACATTTACGGCGTTCCATTTATCCAGTTTTGGTTTCAAATTAAGTTCACTTCAATAACCGGTGAATTATTCATACTTTGAGTCTTTGACACTTATATACTATATAACAAAACACTTATTTACTCGGGAGACCTCGGGAAAGCAGTGTGTTGTGTGGCCCCTCGACCGCCGTTGTTGCCCTCGGCTTCGCCTCGGGCAACAACGGCGGTCTCGGGTCCAGTAAATAAGTGATAATTATTCGCCGAAGGCGAGGTGATTATCGGTGAATAAAAACCGAGACGAAGTCGAGGTTTTTATTCACGATAATCACCGAGCCTGAGGTGAATAATTGTTTTAGTATAATTTCATAGGTGATTATTTAGAAAAAAATTAAAAATACACATTTCTTCGTCATTTAATTGACAAAACGGCTTCGGCCGCCATTTTGAGAATCACTTAGGTGATTATCGCGTAATAATCACGTACCTCAACAGCAGCCAATCAGCGTGGAGAATTTTGAATAATCACCTATGTAATTATACTAATAATAATTAAAATCATAACGAAAACTTTATTCAATTTTAATAATAATAATAATACTTATAATTATTATAATTATTATAATTATATTAGAATTAATTATAATTATATAATATATTAATTATTACAACAATTATTATTTAGTAATAATTATCAGTAATTAATTATAATAATAATTATTAATTAATTATTAATAATTATTATTAATTTTTATTAATTAATAATAATAATATGTAAGTATATAGTAAGATGAAGATGATGGTCCATAAGATGAAGTTTTGGTTTTGTTTGTTGTTGCTGACCAAAGTAATGCGGAGTCTTTGACGGTTCATATATATATGTATATATATGTATATATATATATTATATGTATATATATATATTATATATATATATATATATATATATATATATATATATATATATATATATATATATATATATATATATATATATATATATATATCGCCGTTTCCAACTTTCCATGTGGCAAGATGTGATCATGTGAACGGTGAACCGTCAAAGACTACGCATTACTTTGGTCAGCAACAACAAACAAAACCAAAACTTCATCTTATGGACCATCATCTTCATCTTATTATATACTTACATATTATTATTATTAATTAATAAAAATTAATAATAATTATTAATAATTAATTAATAATTATTATTATTATAATTAATTACTAATAATTATTACTAAATAATAATTGTTGTAATAATTAATATATTATATAATTATAATTAATTCTAATATAATTATAATAATTATAATAATTATAATAATTATAAGTATTATTATTATTATTAAAATTGAATAAAGTTTTCGTTATGATTTTAATTATTATTAGTATAATTACATAGGTGATTATTCAAAATTCTCCACGCTGATTGGCTGCTGTTGAGGTACGTGATTATTACGCGATAATCACCTAAGCGATTCTCAAAATGGCGGCCCAAGCCGTTTTGTCAATTAAAGGAGATTGGCAACAAAAATTGCTTCATCTATCTTATTGCTTCATCTGAAAGAGCATGAAAAAATAAGCCGATTGGCCGTTTAATGCTCTATTCTATCTCATCTAGTTCCGAAGTTATACGCAAAAATGTGAAAATATAAATTGCTGATTCAGCACAACGTGTGATGTCATTAGCTGGGTAAGTATACACTGAAGGATAGCTCAGTTATTATGGGTCCAAATCAAATGAAATTTTGCATACTGATTGTACATGATGAGACGCATGGAAAAACACTTCTAATTTTGTTGCCAAGGTAACAATGTCGTTTCCATGCCCCTTGCGCCAATTTTATGAAACAGCTTTATTCAAGGTACTGATAAGAATAAAATAATATCAGAAGTATGTGTATGATACTTATGCATGCCAAAAGTTTACTTGCATGATAATAATTCGAAAATGACATACACATAGATAAATGCAACTAGTTATTCAAAATCAGTGTAAGAGGCCTGGGAACGACTGTGTTGCCTTGACAACGAAATTAGAAGTATTTTCCCCATGCATCTCATCATGTACTATCTGTATGCAAAATTTCATTTGATTTGAGCTAATAATAACTGAGCTATGCTTCGTTTACTATTCATTAAACATACTTACCCTACCAATGACGTCACAGGTTGTGCTGAATCAGCAATTTATATTTTGCACATTTTTGCGTATAACTTCGGAACCAGATGAGATAGAATAGAGCAGTAAACGGCCAATCGGCTTATTTTTTCATGCTCCTTCAGATGAAGCAATAAAATCAATAAAAATTTTTGTTGCCAATACCCTTTAAATGACAAAGAAATGTGTATTTTTTAATTTTTTTCTAAATATTCACCTATGAAATTATACTAAAACAATTATTCACCTCAGGCTCGGTGATTATCGTGAATAAAAACCTCGACTTCGTCTCGGTTTTTATTCACCGATAATCACCTCGCCTTCGGCGAATAATTATCACTTATTTACTGAGACCGAGGGAAACAGTGTGTTTTGTGGACCCGAGACCGCCGTTGTTGCCCGAGGCGAAGCCGAGGGCAACAACGGCGGTCGAGGGGCCACACAACACACTGCTTTCCCGAGGTCTCAGTAAATAAGTGTTTTGTTATATAGTATATAAGTGTCAAAGACTCAAAGTATGAATAATTCACCGGTTATTGGAGTGAACTTAATTTGAAACCAAAACTGGATAAATGGAACGCCGTAAATGTTTAGTAAAAAGTTTAAAAAATGAACTTTGGAACTTCATGGTTGACACGCATGCGTATTGCACCCATTTTATTATTGACCGGTCAATAAATGTTTGATTGCGGACCGGTTGCCGAACATGACGTTTTGTGGACAGGCACGTGAAACGGTTTTGACCAATCGGCAAACAGAAAAATTGAACTTTGACACTAACTATATAACAATTGTTATTAATAATTATTAATCCAACATCCTGTGGGCCGCCAAGAAACCCGCGTGCAATTACACAGTACAGATCTTCATCACGGGCTTAAAACTGTAGGGAGCCTCTTTAAGAATGCGTTTTTGACTCGTGTTCGTCAGTTTTTGACTCGTGTTCACTCGTGTTCGTCATTTTTGACTCGTGTTCACTCGTGTTCGTCAGTTTTTGACTCGTCTTCACTCGTGTTCACAATTTTTTGACTCGTGTTCACTCGTGTTCTGACTCGTGTTCACTCGTGTTCACTCGTGTTGTCTCGTGTTCACTCGTGTTCACTCGTGTTCACTCGTGTTCTGACTCGTGTGGTCTTTTAGAATAGATCACTATCGCTTGCTTAATTGTATTTCATGTGTAGATTTGGCATGCACATGTCAAAAACAAGGCCAAAAAAATGTTTAAAAATTTAAAAAGCCCATTCTCATTTGGTGATTTTCAGAAAACTAGGTACTTAAGTTATAGAAAAACATCAAAATAAAACTAGTTTTCATATGTTGTGCTTGAAATATTTAAAAGTTAAAAATTTTCCGCGCTTGTAAAAGTGCGACAACAAACTATCGCTTGCTTAATTGTATTTCATGTGTAGATTTGGCATGCACATGTCAAAAACAAGGCCAAAAAAATGTTTAAAAATTAAAAAAGCCCATTTTCATTTGGTGATTTTCAGAAAATTACGTACTTAAATTATACAAAAACATCAAAATAAAAATAGGTTTCATATATTGTGCATGAAATATTTAAAAGTTAAAAATTTTCCGCGCTTGTAAAACTGCGACAACAAACTATCGCTTGAAAAAAAGAACTTGCTGTTTTTATCAATTTATGGCGCTTCATCTGGTGGAACTTGACAAAAATACATGTGATTGAACATACCTGATTTCCAAACACACATTCCAGTTGCAGGTTTTAAAACAACAGCCGTTTAAAAAACTTTTTCTTCGCCTTTTTTTTCATCTTATAAACGAACGAAGTTGTTTTGCAAAAACAATCGATCCTCGTGAGTGAGATCCCAGACTTATATCTTACACTACAACATTCCCCATATAATCAGCCGTGATTAAGAATCCGGAAAAAAGATTTCGTGTATAGTAATAGCACAGATCCCAAATCCATTGTGAATTCAGCTTGAATTGTACCTTTTTACGTAGTAATTTTAAAAAGAAGTCAAAACAAACATGCATGCCTGATCAAACCACATCGAATTCGAATAAAAATGAAAATATGCGGGGGGACCTGCATCACACATAGATCAGGGGCGCCATAGCCGTTTCACCGCCCGTGTTTTACAGCGCCCTGCTTTAGACCTAATAAAACACGACCTGCGAGTTTATTAAAGGCTTCAAATACGACTACAAATTCAATAGATATACTGCCTTATTAGTATTCCTTATATAAAGAATACTAATAAGGACACGACTACAATAGATACTGCCTTATTGGTATTCTTTATATAAAGAATACTAATTAGGAGTGTTTTATCAGGTTTAAAGCCACTGCACGTGACATATGGTTGACATGATTTGCCAATAAGCTTATGAATTATTAATGAGTGTTTGAAGTTAATGATTATGTCATTGATTTCAAAATTAATAAACCAGCATGTGCTATCGCAATAGGCACATTGTCATAATTACTCCAATTGGCGTTTGACTCGTATATTTTGAAAGGCTCGAGCACAGAAAACAGACCCTATCGTGACAAGATATGTGCCACGGATATTATTAAAGGAAGCGATAAACATACTTGATCATAGGAGCAGAAAAACCAAAGCAATATTCTCCAAAGTCTGCAACGCCTTCATCATAAAATCTCATCGGGAAAGTCGTCAACACACGAAACGCGTCAGGACTGTCTCTCTTAAGTTGTTTCACGGCATGAAATCCATCAGCGAATGTACTCATGCCACCACTGGGACTTTGTTCGAGACAATGCAGGGCTTGGATCTAAAATAATCAATCAACATGCATGCTTGTTTAAGCTCGCATATATTAGTGTTAGAAATGATTTATTTTTTCTGCGCGAGGTAGGGAATCGTTACAACTTTTCTAATTATTGTCACTAATGTTAATATTTCAGTAGTCGATCTTTTTCAAGTTCTCTTCTTTCCTCAGCCTTTCTCAGCGTCGTTTACTGTTCGTTTAGTTTCTTTGTCGTTTTGTTTTATTCGTTGTTAGCTTCCTACAACTTTTCATACATAATTTTTACTTCGTTGAATCTACTGACGAATTTGGGTTGTGCACACCCAGTGAACTCTCTATATATATATATCTGGAACGATAACATTCAGTCATTTGATTGTGAAAACAATGAAGCCTCGATACCAGTCTTTAACGCGGATTGGACGTCAGTCTCAGTCCCTCAAACGTCAGGTTTACGCGGATTGGACGTCAGTTTCATTCCCCCTCTTGCAAACCGTTGCATGGCCAGTATAAATTTGAACGCAATCACGAAAAAACAATTAAAAACATGATGGCCAGAGCAAACTGTTTTGCTCCTAAAATTTACTGCATTGAGTTCGCGGTCGGAAAAAAGTCGAGGAAAACTTCCCTGTGTGGAGAAAAGAATCACTTTTTCGAATATATTGTGTCGTACTGTCGTTCTGGATGCACAAGGAAAGAGATATTCTTGCGAGAAAATTTCATTTCACAGGTAGGTAAATTGACTTGCAACTGTGACTTTGCCGTTGCCATTTTTAGCGATTGTTTGAATTGTTTTTTAGTTTGCCAGTTTTATAGTTTTTAGTCAATACCCTAGTACGTTATTTTTTAAAGAATTTATTGTGTGATCGGAATTTGCCTGCCAGCAAAATGTAAATGAACATGTACGTGTGTTTGAATATAAATTAGACCATATGGGCTTAGTAAAAAATTATTTTAATAACTACGTTTCGGAGTATAACTCCATCTTCAGGTTAAAAGTGAATAAAGATATAAAAACTGTGATAAAAACTTTGAAAACAATTACAAATTTTACATGTAAGTGATTTTTAATACTGTAAGAAAGTTCTTGAACCGTTGATGACGAAGACGATGACGAATACTTATGTCGTGATTTTTTTTGTTGGCTTCACTTTTCGCTCGCTGTTATCATTCCAGATATGTATATATAGAGAGTTCACTGTGCACACCTTTCAGTGCTAACGGTTGAGGGGATCTTTGTACACGCGTGATCTGGCGAGTGGTGTGATTTGTATCCAGCCAATCAACGTGGAGTTATAAAAGTGTGGGTTGGCGTTGCTACAATCTTGGACATAACTGGTTGAGACTATCCTCATGTTGCCATTCTTAAACCCCAGCTCCCCCAACTCAATGTTGAGCTTGTGTCATGGTATATTACCAGAAGTTGTTTCGGCGTTGTTCACAACATTGAACTGGGGGGGAGGGGGAGACAAAGTTTGTTTTGTCAATGTAATATTAGCCGGAATGGTCTCAAGGGTATTGTCCAAGATTGTAGCTCGTTCCAGCTCTCACATTCTGTTTATTTAAGGAGTACGTTGTCGCACTTGTCGAGTCGGTTTGCTGTTCAATCGATCAATGTAAAATATGTTCACAACTTAAAATACTATCAAAATATCATAGTAAAATCTTCAAACTATACCTATGTGAAACTTACTTTACCTACTAAACTAAATTTACTTACAATTTTATTAAACCAAGATTTTGATGACGTATTGTTATAATTACTCGACCGCGCGAAATATAACGAAGAATGATTGACGGCAATCTCCCTAAGCACGCACACATTCCAGGTCAATGAGGAACCAACCTTGGACTTTGAATTATGTAAACAGAACAGCCTACCATGCAAGACTTTCGTCCAACTTTGACAGTTTGACAAATTATTTATCTTGCCTATAAATGGACAGATAATTGACACTTTTACGCAGGTCCGAAATGATATCTACTCAAAAATGCTCATTATCTCTCCATTTGACGTAACTAGTATTTATAATAATCTGAGTTGCAAACTGAACTATATTTATACTATTTAGATACTTTCGTAACATTAGTAATGAAGTTTTTTTGTGGAAGTAAATGTCAACTTACGTCAGGTGAAGATCTGAGATACGGTAAATCAGTGTGTATATATAAACCTTTCGCTGTGCATCCAACACTGATTGGATTATCTTCAACTTTCAGATTGTTGATATCTCTGAAAAGAAAGAACGGACAGTATTAATAGATTTTCTCGGTAGTTATAGCGTGCTTTTGTTAACCTGTATACTTACAACATTGGTGGTGACACAGGTTGAATTTTTGGACTATACTGGTGCTTTGTTTGATTATTTCGCTTATTTCCCCTTCGTTTTCCTGCCTGCTCCGATTTCTCTCATCAGGACCTATCAGAGGGGGGGGGGCAGAGGGGGCAATTTGCTCCGGGCCCCAGTGCAAGGAGGACTCCCAAATTTGGAAAATAAAAACATAATTTAGAACGTTTTTTGATATAAATAATGGGCCAAAATTTTGCAGAAACTGGTCACAAAAAAAACGGTTTTACCAATATTTAAACAGGAATTTGTCCGGAAAAAATTTTTTGAATTTTAACTTAACTGATGTTAGTCCGGAAAATTTTTTATGACCCTTTTTTTATGTCCGAACAAAAATTTCCCCCCCCCCCCGATCGCCAACATTTTTAGGGAAAATAGGGCCCCCGAAAAAAAAATTTGCCCCGGACCCCGAATTTCTCTGATAGGCCCTGTCTCTCATAATACTGAAAAATGAGTGATGGCCTCGTAGAACTTCTGGTCAGAGCTATCTGATATAAATAACGTTTGTCTACTTAGCTTCAAAAGAAGGTTTTCAGTCATCGATTGCTTACCCAAGATAGGTTTTCTGAAACCATCCAATTCTAGTGGCCAATTCGAAGAGGAAATCCTGTCTGACAGGGCCGTCATCAAGTAAGACCAATCCATATTGATACAGAGAGTAGAGATACTTGAAAAGAGTTGTATCATCATTCATCACTGCTTTGCAATCATATAATGGTATCTTGTCTTGTAACATTCCTGCATCCCACAAGATCAAGTCATCTTTCACCAGACTGTCCGTGTTAAAGTGTTTTCGTAATTCCTCCCTCTCGGGCATTCTATTGTTACGTAGCCATTCCAAATGGTATTCACTCTCATGACCATCCGGCCATACGCACTTTAGATGTTTACGATCTTTGGAAAAGCTCACCTTCTCCGCCTGGATGTTCAAACCGACGTCGACTATGGTGTGTACCAGACTTTGGTTACTTCTGGGCTCGAAACATTGGGGACATTTGCAGTTATCTCGTAGGAAAATGTAGGGGTATCGCGAGGAGGTGCCATCGTTCCAATCAACTTTAAGGTACCGCTGTTCGTTGTCATTGTAAACGTTTTCTATGTGCGGATTTTTGATAATGTTGATTATTTTGCCGTTTCTGACTTCTAAATGAATGAAAGATCTTTCTAAAATATATACCTGGTTGTTTTAAATGTGTTATTATAATATACTTAAAAATCACCTCCGATCGAAAAATGAATATTGAAAGAAACGTGAGAGAGGCAAGGATGGAATGGTATGGATGCGTAATAAGACAAGATGAAAAAAGGCTGGCCTAAGGCATTATGACAATGTGACATTATGGAATGGAGAGGTCAGAAGACGTGGTATCCAGTCAGACATTGCAGAGAAAGATAGGAAAGGTGGGCTGATATTGTATGGATATGTAATAAGACGACATGAAGGAAAGGTGATCAGAGATAAGATGTATGCGTGTATAATTTCCACGATATTCATTTACCTACAATCTCGTGCAAAAATAATGAGACTTTTGGTAGTTCGTTTTATTTCCGTGATTACTTTACCCCCTTCCCCTATACAATGTTGAAAAAAAATTGACTTGACAATATACCTTTGTATCGTTTGTCCAACATTGTATGTGTGGTGGGAGGGGGGCAATGACTTAGTTAAGAACTAAGTTCTCAATAATTTTTGCACGAGATTGCAGACAAAGCAGTTTTCTTAGCATCGAATTTTACCCAGAAATTAATTTTGTCCTCGTGACACAAGCTTTTAGACGAATGTTTGTAACTTGACTTTCATGAAAATTACGTAAATACATTTATTCATCAGTATTCAAACAATTATTGAATAAAATATCAGATGGTGATCATTTTTCACTATCAGTAGCCAGTATGAGCTCCGCCTTTGAATTTACTGCATGAGTAAATTCTTAAACACGTCCGAATTTATCATTATGATAAATTTGCGGCACATTTGAATTTATTATAATAATAAATTCGCGGCACCTAACACTAACCCTAACCCTTAACCCCTAACCCTAACTTTTTTAACTTTTAAATATTTTTAACTTTTCCAACTTTTTTAAAAATCTAACTTTTTAAAGTTTTTTTGCTTTTTAAAACTCTTTTAAAACTTTTTTAAAAACTATTTTTTTAAAAAAACTTGAAAATCTAACCATCCTGCGCGACCAGCCTCCCTTTTAGTGCCATTACATTTATAACAAGAAGTATTGTCCAATGTTTGTGGTTTTATGATTAACTCTATTGATAAATTCAAAATGTGCCGCGAATTTAGCATAATGATAAATTCGGTCGTGTTTAAGAATTTACTCATAGTAAATTCAAAGGTGGAGCTCGTGTTGCAGTAGCACAAGTTGCCCTTGATTTAAATCTTCTAAGAACACCAAGGTAAATGGGTGGCTAACTACCTCATCCTGGCAGAACCCACCACACTTTCAAGGCCATTAGATTTATCGGACTAAAGATGACATCATAATAGTATATGACGTCAAGAGCAAACACTCTAAAGGAACACTAGAAAAGATGTTCTTTAATGCATGTGATGCAGTTTCTTTTCGGTTTCTTAGGTATACCAGCAGAAATGTTCCGGTCTAAATTTCGTTTAAAATTTTACCACAAAATAAAGAGGGTTTTTATGAGGCTGAAGATACATGTTGAGGAAATAGCTGGTAAAGGTTGGTTTTCACGATCAAAGTTTCTGTGATCACAGTAAGAATTTTGCATAGGTAAATTCTAAGTTTTGAAGGATTTGTAAGGAATGATTGAGGCGGCTGACTCAGCGTTATTCAATGAGTCGTTTCCCTCAAAAATGTATTATTCAAAAATTTATATCCATGCAAAATTCCTACTATGATCACAGAAACTTTGACAGTGTATACTACCATCTTTAAGAATACAATAGCACAAATTAAAGCCGGATAACAATGTTAAGTTAGTTTCATGTAAAAGATGGTTTGGATTAATTAGTTGCTGGCCACGTTGTCTTTTGATTATTTAAATTGCTCTCGCTTCGTGCAGTTTTCTCCCTTCGTGCAGGCTCGCTACAGTTTTCTAGGTTAACCCTCGTTTTCTGAAAATTCTGCTCGACCACGGATGGGAATCGAACCCGCGACCTTGACATTTCTTGAAATTCCGAAATGTCAATAAGATCACCAGGGCGCTATAAAACCAGAGGCGTAGCCAGGATTTTTGGTCAGGGGGGGCCAGCAAACACCCAGGTGGGGCCAAAAAAATTTTCCGCACCACAACATTTTAAATCTCTCCGACCACCCCCCTCCCCCCCCCCTCGTCGATACCTTTTTTGGTAAAAATATTTCCCGGACATTACAATTGCTTTCGTAGCACTTTTCCCGATTTCCGTATCACTTTTTCCGATGCTTCACCACAAAGATTCCGACAACATTGACAATTTTCCGACGGGTCTCAACTTGAAGCTATATAATCAAGGATTCCTTTTTTTATTGCTGCGTAGCGAGCGAGCCTGAGGCGAGCAAGCGAAGCAGCATTCTAATATGTGCAGAGAGGGGGTTTTGAAGTAAATTTTATTTAGCGCATTGTATTGTGGTCGTATGCGCAGAACACAAAATAACGTACGACATACAATATTTGAGGCGTATTTGAAGGATATTGTTTATTAGTATTTTTGCACAAGTGAACATAACAAATCCTACAAGGTGATTGGTCAAATTTGACGTATTAATCTGTTATATTCACCTACAGGTGAATATAACAAAATCTAAATTTTGAAAATGGCGGCTAGCCGTTTTGTTGAACTTGTTAGTGATAAAGAAATAAGCGAAATTAAAATGAATTCAGACAAGAAAAACACAAAAAAACTTGTGCAAAACTAAAACAATTATTCGCCTCAGGCTCGGTGATTATCGGGGAATATTCACCTCGACTTCGTAGTCTTCGTCTCGGCGAATATTCTCGGCGAATATTCCACGGCGAATAATTGTTAATTGTTTTGCTTGCTTCGACTTGTAAATTATTTTCACTCAGGTACTCAGCGTAAGGTTTAGTAAAGTTTTAAGCCCTGTAAAGGCCATAATATAGTGTATAAAATAACGTGACTGCACTTCGTGCGTTGTTCACTCAATGGACTTTGACCACTGTAAGTTCTATATTTTAATTTACTATAAAGTCTTAAGAATGCTTTGTCGTTTGTATTCATACGCGTACTAGAGCAGCGCGTATTAAATTCAACAAATTCCACTTGATCTTGAAAATATTATATTCTTGTTTATGATTTAGTGAATATTACTTCCATAAACATTAACATTAACACGCCTATCTGCAATCTGTGATTGCTCTTGAACCCTTGCATGGTCTTGGCAACAAATGCATTGCATTTTCTCAGACACTCATGGCATGAATCGATTCCGTATTCCTTAGCTCCGACCACAGTGCTCACAAGTCGCCGGCTCGCTGGGAGTAATAATTGTATGCCAGTTTATGTAATTTGTACTATTTTTGGTTCTATTTGCTCTTGATGCCCGCAGCAATCCCTACCTTGCAGGTACCCTTACTAGCAGAATACATTTTATCAGGGGGCCCAGAAAATCGCGTGCAAGATGGCAACAAAAAAATGCAAACAAGCAAACGAGAAAACAAAGGATTTAAATGCTAAGTTAATTAAAAGATGTTTCGTTAATTAAAATTTGAAATATTATTTAATAAGTTATATCACATGTAATAGCTTGTGTTGTTTGTTACTGAACACTTGTTGAAAGAAAATATCAGGGCAAAAATTTCACTCGAGCGATGAAAATATTTGCAAAATTTGAAGCGCGGACGTATTTAAAATAGTGTTTTCTCCTCGTTGAGTAGGTTGAGATAAATTTGAACACGCCAAACTATAGACATTTAACTTGGCTTTATGTCTCAAGTAAAATTGAACGGGGCTTTTTTGGGCTATTTTCATAAAACGGAGATATCTTGCAGCCAGCAGCCTTAATAGTTTTCCGTAATACTGTCGCTGTATATCATGTCAACGACTGCAGTCGCACGAAAACAGATTCACGCTGAATATTTTTGGAGTGTCTGCGACAGTTATACCAAAATAGAAATCAAATCAATTAGTAAAAAACATTTTACAATGAACTTTCAATGGATTCCGAGCATGCCGGCTGGTTAACACAAAAACGGTTATATATTTAAGTTTTCAAATTGTTGAGCAAATCGTAGTTGTTTTTATCAAATTGTAGTTGTTTTAAATGCATGCATGGTCAATTTTGGGCTATATGATTATTGAAAAATAGTAGCCAAGCAATGTCGGAATATTCTTACTGTGAAAATGTTTATCGTACCTTCGCATTATGAAGTAAAATATCCCATTTCATACCAAACTTTTCGTATTTGGAATATGCCCACATTCGATCAGTTCAATTCCTTTTCGAATTTTTATTTCGCTCATGATGAATCTTTAAAACCCTTTTTCCTTCATTAGATATACAGAAAATGAATCCAACAATGTCTTCATACCATCAAGTTGTTTAGGAATGTGCAGAAAACATTTTTTAGTTTAGTTTTTTCAGCTCTTTTTTGCATAAACATTCCAATTCCATTTTTATTGACATTATAAATTAATGTATACGGGGGGTACGCACACAAAGATCAGGGGCGCTATCTCCGTTTCACTGCCCGTGTTTTATAGCGCCCTGAGATCACCGAGCAGCATCAGATTGCAATCACAGTCTCGCACAATCAACATAAACGATATTTTAATATTAAAATTGCTTTTTTTGCGTGTTTGCTTAATTTTTTTTGTGAGTCATCCACGGCCTTTGTGCTTATGTGTTTGCGGAATGTTTCGTTAGTTATTCAAACCTTTCGGTGCTTTTGTGTGTGCGGAATGTTTTTGTGAGCCATGAAGCATGCACTCTACTTTTTACGGAATGCATTTAACAAGCGTTTTTTATCATCTGTTTACAAATATTTCTAAAAATAACAAATTATTGTTTTGCACACGTCAGCAAAAAAGATTGGGACGATGTAATATATGTAGTTTTTACTAATTTAATCCTTAATTCTATCACATGGCACCGAGTCAGGAGATCCCATGAGATAGCACGGCGCATGCGCGGGTTCATTGCACGCCTCGTGTGGGTTCGAAGCGGACGAAGAAAAATTTAGAGAAAAATATTTCAAGTTAATTCAAGAAGATTAAGCTACTTTCCTTGTGTCTACGTGGTAGATACTTAATCAAAAGCGTCCAACGTAGTTGGTATCGCTGTGATAACGGCCAAACCTTGTTTTGGCCCAAGATTACTCAACCAGAAACCAACGTAGTTGTGTTCATAGTGTGCATATAAAATGGCCGATGGCAATGCACCGGTTGAGAGAAGGCAAAGAGAAGCCAGCTCTAGTCCTGGCCCTGTCGGCGACACAGTCTCGCCTCTCGCCGAGTTTATGGAAGAAATGAGAGAATTCAAAGCCAGCATGGCCTCCGAGATGGCATCCGTGCGTGGCGAAATAAATAATTTCACCTCTACATTTGACGACTCTACTTTTGACGACGAGCTTCGCCTGGACATTGACGAAGGACAAGGTAGCGACTCGGAAACTGTGTCTACATGTCTTGACACTAAAGTTGAACGTCTCCTTAAGGAAACCAGCAAGACGAAAAGTAGCGAGGATTTGACGACAAGTTCAGATAGCCTCCTTACAACTATAGCACAAGAGCTCGATGTTAGTGAACAGATGGGCGCCGCTGTTCAAGAGCGTCTTGCCTCCATAGTCGAGGGCCTTTTGAGCACCAAATTATCCGATGAGAAATGGCGAGAGAAAGTTGGGAAGTATCCCCGACCCCAAAACTTAGAAAATCTTAGAACTCCCAGAGTTAATCCACTTATATGGAACCAACTCTCTGCTGGGGTTCGGACCAACGACGCCAAACAACAGCGAACACAGCATGCTCTCGTTGGCGCCATAGTTGCCATGACGCAAGCGGCGGACCACGTGCTCAAAAGCGGAAATCCTGATGCAACGCTGATAACATCTTTGACAGATGGCATTGCAATGGCTACCCAGTGTCAACATGATATAAATCAAGCACGTCGTATTGCTATGAAACAGGACATGCACACAGATTTTCAAGCACTGTGCAATGTTCCAATTCCTAGTGGGGAATTTTTGTTTGGCGACTTGTCCAAACACACCAAAGATATTGCGGATGCAAACAAGTTGGCGAAAAAAGGTCGCCCATACCAGACTGCTACTGCACGAAGCAGACAGTCTAGTTCTGGCACTTATAGCCGGTTTTCTACTGGGCAATACAGACGTGGCCACCCATATCAACGACGTGAAAATATTTTCGACCGAGGTCGGTTTCACAATGCAAAGAAAAAGAGAGGGGGAGCTGCAAAAAAGCAGTAAATTCCTCAATAACACAACCTGTACATAGTAAGGTAAGAGAAACTGTCAGTTCATATTCATTGCATACTGTTGATTCGTCTGACACGTCAATAATTGCTGGACGTTTAAAACATTTTGTTGATCGATGGAAGCAACTGACCTCAGACCCAGTCATATTGAACTATGTCATGGGTGTTAACATTGAATTTAATGATCAACATCCCAGCCAATATGCAGCCAAAGTTCGCCATTTTAACATGAGTGAAACTGCAATTATTGGAAATAAGATTAATAAGCTTCTTAGCAAGGGGGTTATTATTCCCTCCATACATGAGCTAGGTGAATTTATTTCATCAATCTTTCTCAGACTTAAAAAAGACGGCTCATATCGTATGATACTTAACCTCAAGTCTTTCAATGAATTTGTGAAGCATCGCCATTTTAAAATGGACACTTTAGATGCAGCAGTAAAAATGATGAAGCCAAATTGTTATATGGCCTCT